TAAAAGGATTTGTCGGAGGAGGCCCCTCTGCCAGCTCAGCTTCCCACCACAGGCCATTGCGCTTGGAGAGGGTTCAGAGGTCACATACCCAAACACAAAGAGGAAGCAGATAGCTGTGCAGGAACTGACTAAAATAAGAATCCAGAATTCATGAGTGGGGGAAGATGGTCCCTTTCTTGTTGCTAGTGGTCTCATACAGTGTCCACTCTTACGCTTTGCAGAATTTGAAGTGTTCTTGAATTGTGTCTGAAGCGTCCTTTTTTGGTATTCTATTGTGACTGACCCTCTTTATTCCTCTTCTCAGGTCTGATATACAGATTAGGAAATAAATGTGTTAGGACTCATGCACATGGCCGCAAATACATGTATAGCTATATTATTTTTGTGTATCAGGGGTCAGCATACACCAGCGTCCAGGCAGCCTGGAATCAATGGCCGGCTGCGTCTGTGTACCATTCGATGTGGATATATGTGAATATGAGCAGCTACAGGCGTACAGGGCCATATGCACCTCCCCAAATGCAGACTGCCTGCGTTCCAGGATGTGCATATAGCCCTGTACACCTGTAGCTGCTCGGATATGTGTATATCTGGATTATATTTTCACAATATAGCACATTTTTGCATCAGAATTATGGTTGGTGCACTAACTTAAAGCATATCTAAACTCAAAGAAATGTAATCTATTGCAGCTTACCAGTCTTTGGATGCGGAGTAGGGTTGCCACCTGGCCAGGATTCACCCAGACAGTCCGGGTTTTGAATGCTGTGTCTATGTCCACGAGTCGCAAGAGTGTTCGGGTTTCGCTGGAAGAAAAAGTGGCAACCGTAATGCGGAGGGTGCATAGAACTCATGCACACAGGGCTATTAGCTGCAGCTGAGGATTCCTGCAGCAAGAAGGAATCCCAGGTGCTTCTTTAAAGATGCGGTTCAAGATAGATGATTTTCTCTGGAAGCAATCTGTCTGCACCAGGGACAATCATCTATCTCGATCTGCAGGTAATCGGTCCATAGACAGACATTGACAGATGTGGCTGCAGTCAGCCTGTCATTCACTTGAACGGGCACAGCGGCCGTATCTATACGGACCCACCTGGGACTCCTGCTGCAAGAATCCGCAGGTCCTTGTTGCAGGAATCCTCTGCCGCAACAAATAGCCATGTCTGCATGGAGCTCGCTTTTTTTCAAGCTAAGAACATATTCTGTAAGTACAGAAAATACCTGTTGAATACAATAGAATTTTAGTGTCCTTGTCACTTCCCTAATCAATGTCACTGAAACCTCAGAGAATGTTATCAGCTTTCCCCAGCTATCATTTGTTAACCACAGAATGAGCCCTGTCTATGTGACGATGGAGAGGGGGAAGTGTTTTGTAGTTCTGCCCCCCAGTGACAACACTGCTCCTCCATGGATACAGACAGTACAGTAAATAAGCGTTGTTGCCCTGGAAAGTGTGTTACTGTCAGAATCACCAGGCAGAAATAAAAATGTTTTTTAAAAAAGCCTAAAAAATGCCGACTCCACATACCTGTATAAGGCTGCAATATGTTACATTTTTATTTTTGGGTTTGGATACATCTGATATTTTACTAAACTGTTATATCACATGGGGATGTTGGCTGGCTCCCGGATATACCATAGTTATAACACCCACATGCTCTTACATGCTTATAGTCGCTCTGTATATCTTTTGTAAGAGTCGCGCAAGATACCATTTCTTACTGTCCACACATATTAAATCAGGGAGCCCACCTTGAGAAATGACATGGAGCAGACACAAGTACTTGTGGACAGGAAGTGGCTTCAAAGAGGCAATTGCTTATGATGCACATTGCTTTGGCAAATTAAATATCCAGTTAGGGCTTACAGCTACATTATGGTTGTTTGCGAAGGTTAAGAGTTAAGGCTGTTTTTTAGGGGTGGGTCAAAGGTTAGGGATCATTAGTGGAACTTTTTTATTTCAACTTTTTTTTACGCCAAGGCCGCACGCCCAGAAAAGCTCACTTGAAACTGTTGCATATTGATCCATGATTTTATAAATGCAAAATGGAAGTTTTGGCTTCTTACAGGGGAACAGTTAGGAAGTACACACTTGCTGTTCCATATTTTCATAAATATACTGATTTGTAAGAGCTGATAGCACATACGTGCTGTCAGAAACTGCATGTGTAAGCAATTAGAACTGCTCCGCGTACATATATGATTACAAAGTATATAAAGAGAGCAGCTCTTTGTAAACATTAACACGCACCGATAAGATTACATACATTATCACATTGCAGTGTGTATCTGTGTGTTATGGATTCCCTATAAAACACCTAGAGGCGACAGGAGGTGACCTGTGCGTGCACAGATTGCTGCGCGCTTCCAGGTGTGGTCTGTGACAGGACACTTAGAATAAAAGAAACTTTAGTCACGTCCCAGCCCAGATTCCACGCTCAATATTTTACTGTTTACCTCCATCTCTCATCATGTCCCCAGCTTCCTGTTTCTTTGACGTAGGCAGAAAATATTCACCTGAGGCCAGGTTGACGCTCGCTGTTTACATGGATATGCAATGTAGAAAATCTGACATGAGATGTTGGTGCTAGATTGGTGTCTGACCAATATGTGGCAGAGGAGACGAGAGAACAAATTGTGTGCCCATTCGTACATATTCACTTTTATATTAGGTGCATGTCACATTTACAGTGCAACAGGTTGTAGTCAGTGAGGTTGATTTACTAAAGAGGTAAGGACGGTTCACTTAGGTTGGAAGTTTTGGTTGAATTCTTCTGAATGGGCTGAAATTTAAGCCATGTATTGGCCCTGCAAGCACCGCCCCGGCTTGACAAAAGTTGATGTAAAAGAAACAATGAGCCAGGTGCCAGCCTATCAGATAATCACTGCTCATCAGCGCCATTGTATTCAGGCACATTACAATAGCCAGCGCTGGAGATTCCTTTATCAACACTGTTTAGCATGGCTGGAGGAATCAACTGTTTTTTTCTTATTAAAGCCATGGTTGCTTTTACTAGCGGCTACATCCCAACTGCCACTACTGTGTATGATAGAGAGTAGGGCTGGGTATAAAAGGCAAGAATCTCATTCGAAAAAATATATATATTTTTGGAACGTTTGTTTGATTTTCTAATTGGAAGTGGGGTGATCGAAGGAGCAGGATAGAAAAGTTTCCGTAGATGACAGTGAATTCGGTTTTCATTCAGGAAACTCTATTGATTCCAAAGCCGAATAGAAAAGTCAAATTGAATTTTGAATGATGTTTGTCAAGTCTCTGACGGCATTATAGAATGTTCTGATAATTTTTTATAAGAAAGTTTGTGCAAAAATCTATCAAGAACAGCTATAGAAAAAAGGGAAGAGAGAGAGAGAGAGATGAGAGAGAGAGAGAAAGAGAGATATTCACATAACGCACTCTCAGGTATTGGGTGCACCTACATTTGCAATCCTTGACTGCATCATTTGATATATAGAACTTGGAGAACAGTGACAACAATGACGCATTTTGCACATGAACACATCACCAGGTGACTTCTTTTCTATACAAAAACATTTTCTTACCCCTCCCGAGATTTACAAGTGAATTATTATTTCACACAGGAATGTTTTGTGTTTCTCTCAGACTGTGGCTCAGATGAACCAAAATAGAAGTCTATTGATAAACAATATGGTATAGCCCAGTGCTGGTCTTATGAAAATAGTTTTAGAATTAAAGGGGGCCTGTCAAGGTGGCTGTTATCTGGCACAGGTAATAGTTATTTCTTGATTCCCGGATGAGGGTGTAGTAGTATGACATGGTGTATGTGTTGTGCTGCATAGTGAGCTCTGCTCTAGAACCCATACCCATACCATGTTCAAAGATATAAGATGGAGCTCTACAGGAATGAGAGAACTCCACATCCACATTATTCAGCATGTATGGAGGAATCTTCACTGCTGTTTTTTGTATTCAGACAGCTGACACATGTGGTTGGTGAAATACCCAAACAGTGGCATTTGGATGCCGTCACTTTTCAGCCAGCAATTTTCCAACCGGCTCCTTTGATTTTTCAGTTGAGGTTTGTCGAGGCGGATGGTGGCAACAGGGTCACCTAATTGCTAAAAATTGTGTCCAATTCAATGGGAAACAACCAATATTTAAACTGGGTATGGTCAGCTGGCCACAGACACTAGAGGATGATGGGGGTGCATGACCCATAAAAGCCTGAGTGTAGAAAAAAAAGACCAAAAAAGGTCCATGAAGTCTGTTTTTTTTATCATTTTTGTCTCAGGATAATCATTTTATCCCAAACATATTTAATTGCACATACTGCCTCTACTGGAAGTCTGTTCCACACATTCACTAGCAACTTTCAGGCTCTTGACCTTTTCTCCTTCTAGTTTGATGTCATGGACTTCTTGAGCTCAGCTTACTGTCCTCCTGTAGTCATACCCCCACCCATCCCCTCCCCTTCTTTCCTTGAGGCTCCGGTCTTATTTGCTGTATTTGTCACACCTTTCAACATATTAGTTATCAGTCTCTGTATCACATCTTTTTGTTAGAGAGGTCTCCAGGATATCTCCTTTGTCCGATCTCTATTCAATGCTAGAACCCTCAGCTGGTGTCTGTGGGAACCATGAAAAATGGCTAAATCTGGCCATACACCAATAGAAGAATTTTTTTGGGAGAGTTAATTTAATTTTCCATTAGTTAATGGGGTCAAATCGATGATCGTTTTCATAGTGACAAGAAATATTTTTTTTTCTTCAATGAAGGAAATTCTAACTGTGATTGTGGTTTTCATTCAGCAATCTCCATTAATTCCAAAATTTCAAACAACATTCTACACGTCTCTAATGGCATTATTGAATTTTCTGATGAGATTTTTACCACCAGTGTATGGCCAGCTGAAATTCAGTAGTCCTAATCTCACATCTGTAGGCAGCTTTGGAAAGGTCACGTGGCCATCTCACAAAACAATCAGTTCAAATGTTAAAGAAAAATTATCTGTACAGCTGGAATGGGTCATGTCACTCAGGTGATCCCATCACTGGTGGCAGATCACTCACTACATTCACTGGTGCAACTTTGCCAGCAAGGGAGCAGTGATGGGGTGACATCTCGCTGGGTGGACCAGCAATGGAGCAATGCTGAAGGAGCAGGTGAGTCCCCTTGTTCCTGTTGCTGGTCAGTAGGTGGTAGTGATTGGATGACTAGTGTAATATGGGCCTGTAAGTGTTCTTCACGCTATATGATAAGTGAACAATCATGTGCAATACAATGAAGGTAGACTAGTTCCCATAGCTGGGCGTCTTGTTTCATCATTCTCTGACATTGTTACATTTCTGCACACGTAAGGCCCCTTTTACACAGGCTGATCAGGAGGGGATCTGTGCACGGATCCCCTCCTGATCAGAGTAGTATGGGTCAGATAACACTGCTGTGGCATCCGTGTCCATTCAGCTTTTTCCTTCATCTTACGATGGAGAAAAAGCTAAAATGATTGGACCCCATGTCCGTCTATGGAGAATCGGATGTAAACTGACGCGTCCATTTACCCCTAATGTGGCACAGTTAGGTCTGTCGAAACGGAACACTGTTCCATTTGTTTTTCTGGACCTGGCCAGAGCCAGGGGAAACTGGGTGTAAACGGATGCGTTAAGACGCAGCTGTCCATAGACTAACACTAGGAATCCAATCAGATCCGCCTGACAAACTGGGGAAATTGATCACACCGGCCTTGTGAAAGGGGCCTATCAGATAATTGTATTGGTAAAAGAAAGTCCTTCCTGTTTTATGATGGCCCATAGGAAACTGTAGGAATTTTCTATAAGCCAGTAGAATTTTGTTTGAAAAAGTTAATTTCGATTTTCTAATAACTAATGGGGGTCAAATAACCATTCATTTTCAACCGCAGTGATGAAAAAGTCGCAGGACAGGATGGAAATTATTCTCGAATGAGCGGAATTCCAACAGTGAATTTTTTTTTTTTGGTCAAGAGGCGTTCATTCTAAAATCGAATGTTAAATCAAACAGAATTCCTAATGACATTTGTCAAGTCTCTGATGACATTATCGAATGTTCTAATGAGATTTTTCATATGAGCGCTAATATGGCCAGTTTGAGATCTGTGGTCAGACACACACATTACAGTCCTGCATGGAAGAAGAGGAAGGTTGTGTTTATTATTAACGATATGGATTAATGGTTAATGGCGTACGAGACTCGACACAGTGGCCGCAAAACACACAGCTGCCCAAAGTACAAAACACAAACTATTCCTGGAATAGATTACAATCAGTTTTTACTGCCTGTAGAAACCATGTCTATTGCTGTGACAGCGATGACATCCAATATAACATTATGGCATTTGCATCTCTTCTGCTGCTTTTATTGTCACAACTGATCCAAGAATGCCAACGCAGAAGGTTTTTGCTTTCTCTTGCAGTCAGCCAGCCAAAAATAAATAAATTACAGACACGAAAATCTGTCCAGACACAAAAAGCTTGGCTCCCCATAATGTCCATCTGCTGACACTGACTCTGCTTGTAGGGTTCAATAAATCCCTAAAAATTGATGGGGAGATGTCCATCCTGGCCCCAACCCTTCCCTGATCACAAAGTCAACCCTAAACTATCATGTATGTATAAATCATGCATGTATTAATCATGTATGTATAAAGGATTCACTTAGTGCCCATTCACACTGGGCAAATTTGCTGCGCGATATCGCGAGAAGTCGCCGTCCAATGATTTTCAATGGAGCTGATTTTCAATGGAGCGGTCGCTTGTGTGGGACCCTTTTTCCTGCGGATGTCGCGCAATTTTTCTATTTTTGCATGCAGCCCGACGGTGAAGGTCGCGCGATCATCGCTGGAACGTCGCCCAGAACAGTCGCGCTATCCCAGCCGCGCGGATCCGCTCGAGGTAAGTGTCGCTTAGTGTGAATGGGGCCTAACTGTACAGTTTATATTCCTTGAGCCCCATTCACATCTGAGCGATCAACACGCAGATTTCCATGTTCTTCTATTGCGCCCGTTCCCATCTGGGCATGTAATTATTATTATTATACAGGATTTATATATCGACAACAGTTTGCGCAGCGCTTTACAATATAAGGAAGACATTACAATCACAATACAATTCAAGACGAGATGGTAAGGAGGGCCCTGGCCCTGAGGGCTTACAATCTAAAAGATGAGCGCTTTTCATGTGATTGAATGCCTAACAACCAACTTCTCCTCCTAGAAACTAGCCTTCTGTTGTATAAGGCCCCATTCCCACCAGGGCATAATGGGCTGCATTTGGCGCGCGAACCTATTGATCCCCGTTGGGTCCCTGGATGTGCACCAACTGCGGAAAAGAAGTATGTTACAAATTTGGTGACATGCGTTCCACGTTTTTGTTTTGCGCGCGTTTGTGCACATTCTCACGCACGTGAATGCACATGGAAAAACCACCTTTGCCTGCCCACATTTGGGGTGCTGTTACCTAGTAATGGCAACACAAGCGTGTTCTGCGTTTGTGCACCTATCGTGAACACATGTCAAAGCATGCATGTTTGATGCATGTTCACGATACATCCCGGTGCAAATGAGGCCTAAAACAAAAATGCTCAAGCCTGAAAATGCACAAAAAACTTGTGTATAAACATAAAGAAAATGCGCAAAAAGCCACCAAAGACCCCTGCGTAAATCAACCGCACGGTATCCATGGTGGGGATTAAGCCCAGGCTTCCGGTGCTGCAAAAGTACTACGATGCTATCCAGATCCCTCAAAGAAATCCTCCCGAGCATCAAGATTGAAAGGATCAACATTTGTGACAACGTTCTCCAATAAATCTGGGAAAAGGAAAGCAGTCTGTATCTGTGTGGAACGTGGACACTCCATGCCATTGTATAGAAGTGGGCGGGTCACTGCGAGCGCTGGACACCTCCTTCTTGTATTACCTTCGATTACATCAGGCGGATGGGCGTGTCTTATCGGGGCAGCTACTATAAGTAGCTTCCGATCTCCCGGTAAGGCTTCAGTGAGTCGGTGACATCTAATTCCCAGGGTAACCCGGGGCTCGCTGCTGCATCCCTGCTAATAAGGTAATATGGAGGCTTTATGGGGCCCATCTCCTCTCTGTGTGATGGTGGGGGCATGTCCTGCCACGCTGGCATCCTTTGTCCCCATCCATCTGAATTCTGCATTAACCCTTCCCCTGCTTGCCTAGAGCCATGCTGACCATGTGCCAGTCCAGCGGAAAGAAAGGAGAGGGCTAGCTTTGTCTCACTGATCGTGATTTATATCCTCTGAGCAAAGCCGCTCTGTGATTTCCAGCCTGGAGCTCGCATTGTGTATATGCTTTATTTTTATACATGCATTCTATATCTTTCTATTTCCCTCCCTCTTGTTATAAGTTCAGTCTTTGTCCTGTGTTGTGATGTTGTTTATTTGACACTGATCTTCAAGAGATGGATACACTATAACCTAGCAGTCAGCGGTATCTTTTCTATACAATGATCTTGTATGGTGGGATCTTCGATCAAAGTCTAGTTTCTGTTGTTTTTTTTCCTATTGTCTATACATCGCTCCTTCTAATTTGGCCTATGGGGCTTTTATAAAACTTTGAGCAGTAGAATAGGTGTGTGTTGGGTTTTCTTTCCCCCACATATAAAGCAGGAACTCCTCTCCCGTCTGATCTGTTTACTAGTATTCAGAAGACAATGCACTTTAAACCCCGAGGTCTAATCTTAAATTAAAGAAACTCTTTTCTTTAAAAAAAAATAATGCTTACAGCTTTTCTCCCCGTTCACACTTGTGCTTTGCGTGAACGCACACCAAAGCATGCCCATTGGCGCATTTTTACGCATTAAAAAGTGTGATGCGCTTGTGGTGCCATTGCTAGTTAATTGCACCCCAAATGTGGCTTTTAAAATGGCTGTCTTTGCCTGCGTGTTGATGCACGCCAAATGCATGGTCAAAAAATGCGTGAAGCTCTCGCAAACTGCTGCCTGAGCCTCTTTGCTGCGTGTGCGGCATCTCTTTGCAATGAATGCGCACACAAAGTATTTTGGTTTTTTTCTCAAATACTGGACAGTCTTGTTAAAAATAAAAATTAAATCCCTCAGGAAATCTCAGTAAAGTATTTGAGCCTCCTGCACTGGTGATGGTATACAGTTTCTGTGATGAAGGGTTTGCACCGCAGAGCTTACATTTCATGTAGTTGGACTTTGTGGTGGAGAAACAATGGAGTTGTTTATCAGAGGTAGTCTCTCTGGGCTGCAGACGGTTAATTGCCCCCCCCCATTCCATCTCTCTGTACCAGTAGGGGACTTCTCACTGCTCTGTCTGGCTGTAAAACTTGAATAACCAGTTGGTTCCAGTTTTTCTGTCCTACACGGGGTGGGGTTGGGAAAGTTTAATTCTCTTGCAGGAGATAAGCTCTGCAAAGACTTGTGATGGGCAGCCTGCTGATTTTGTGGTCCCTTTTTAGATGATAATTGGCCATATCAAGTAGGCCCCATCGTCTGGAAACCCATCACAAATGTGTATTGCTCCATCCCCCGGGGCAGTCTGTGAACTTTGCCTTACTTTCCTTCCACAAGAACTTTTGTTCTGCATTTTTTTTTTTTTTTTTTTTTTTTTTGTGTGTGCTGTGTTTTACCCATTGCAGACTTTAGGGCAGGTTCACACCATTTTCAGGACCAGATCTGGTCTGGAAAATGGTGTGAACCTGCCCGCAGTTCCAGGGCCTTCCAGACCAGACAATGAGACCTGCAGTATTTTTCTGGTCTGGAACAGACTGCGCTGGTATGAACAGAGGCCAGAAATAGCGCAGGGATACATTAGGATGCATTTTGGGTTCGGAAACGGTCTGGAGATAAGGATGTGATGTTAATGGGTCCTTAGTGGGGCATTCTTGGGCACCTTCTGTATCAATGGGGCACATCCTTCATCATCCAGTAAAATGTTTCGATAGGGCTATGTAGTGGACCATTGGTTGAGAGTTTTCCAGCATGCTGGCGAACTTGTATTAAGTGCTATAGGTTTTTAGTTCTGTAGGTTTTGCTTCACAGTACAAAATTCAGGATGTAACAAGTGCATTGAAATCTAAAATACCAATATGGTTTACAAGGTAAATCCGATGTCTGAGATTTCCTTTTAGAAAAGCAAAAATCCGTTAACTGTACGTGTGCCAATCTGTGGACCAGCTGGCACCAGTCTGATCTGCATCTCTGTGGCTCAAGCCTTCGATCTCTTCCGAGGTTAGGATTACTGTAATGTTGTTGGGGCAGGTCAGACTGTAAGATGACTCCTCTTGTCTCTTTAGGAGATATTTTACCCATTGAATAGTTGGCATAGAAGATACATAATCTGCAGGTCTGTGAATATCTGAAGGTCCCAGGTAACATGGGCTGTTACAGGACAAACTTCTATGTTCATTTTAATGCTACGATCCAGGAAAATGATCATTCACAGGAGACTTTGTTCTTTCTGGCGCAATTCAAAAACAGATTGTCACTTTAACCTGTTGTCAGGAAAGTTTTGCTGTAAAAAGCCCCCCCCCCCCAACTATACAGTCTAAACTTTGGCTTTACGTATTTCATTCTCCGTATGAAATGGCTTCATTTTTGCTTGTCATGGGATTTGTGGAGTTGTGTCCAGTAAGTGAGCGCTGTTTGTACCCCATTTCCATAAAGTAAACAAACAAACTTTACCTTTCCTGAGTGAGTCAAATCCTGAATTTGTGTCTCACTCCCCCTCTCTGACACTGCAGCTCAGAGTGAGAAGGTTTCAGCAAGAGGCAGGACTAGCAGTGGCCAGGTGCTGACTGACCAGCTACAGTGACCATACTGATAACATGCCACTTTGCACAGAGTCACATCCTACATGAGAGCAGCAACTCTGCTCTAAATTTAGGATCAGTGCAGCATTATTGCCACATCACCACAGGAAGCTACATTAGGTGGACTTGAATGGCAGGATCAACAGTTATTTGTGAAACTTTGCAAGGGAACTAAGAGAAAACTAAGTTCAGATATACTTGTAATAAAGTGTTCTGGCTGTTATTTTGCTATTCACACAGTTCAAGGCTCAACAAGGGGGTGAGGGAGCAGTATATGAAGCTGCCCCAAAGGGGGATGGTCCAGGTGACCTATGTCTGGATTGATGGTACTGGAGAAGGGGTCCGCTGCAAGACAAAGACCCTGGACTTTGAACCCAAGACTGTTGAAGGTAAGGTGGCAGCCTTTCCCCCCACTGTTGCATCCTGCTTGGCTTCCCCCTTCTAGCTGGACATCTGGGTGCACTCTTAAGGTGAAATTCCAGAGAAGCTTTAACACGTAGGCACTTGTGCATGCTAAGATAATTTCAATAGCTTTGTACTTTCACGCTGCATTATCTAGCAATATTGCAATATTGCAGATTGGCCACTAGGTGACAAAGGCAAGTTTAGGTCAGTGGGGTTTTTTAGTAGAATTTGTATCACATAAGGGTTGAGAGCTTTTATTTTCAGGCACTGTTCAAAAAGTGCTTTGTTAAATTTACAAGGTTTTAAAAGTCCAAACCTAGGCTCTGCACAAGGGGTAAAAAAATGTTCTCTGCTTCAGAGAAAAGAGAACCGTCTTTAGATAGTCCACCCAAAGCAGGTATTTCAGTTATTGGTGACTTATGGCCTGTAGAATAGTCTATAGGCTTTTTAAAATGTTGGGACTCCAATGCTATAGTTCCCAAGAATGCCAAAATGTTCTATAATGGCTATGCTGCAGGAGTGAATCTCTAAAGTGGGCCATGCAGAGCTGGAATTAGGATCTTTGTTCAGAATTTCAAAGAAACTGATCCTTAGGTTTTTGAATCTATAGAAACATCCACTTTGCATGGGTTGAGTCTTGATTGCCGACAATTTTCAGCACTCAGTGAATATCTAGTTCAACTCATTACAAACCAGATTGTTTGCATCAAAAAAAGGAATAGGACTACCTAAGGGAATCAATATGAGTACCTCAGAGGTGGTCAACCGTATTCCGAATGATGTTTGTCATCTGATCTTTAACTTGTGTTCCTCCCTCCTAATCCATATCTTTCTCTTCTCTCATTAGAGATCCCAGAATGGAACTTTGATGGATCAAGCACACACCAAGCTGAAGGCTCCAACAGCGACATGTACCTCGTTCCTGTCCAGATGTTCAGAGACCCCTTCTGTCTGGACCCTAACAAGCTGGTCATGTGTGAAGTACTAAAATACAACCGAAAAGCAGCAGGTACGGTGCCAAGTCCATAGCAGAATAGAAGAATCTGTGACTATGGGACATGTTTAAACTGTCAACAGGTGGCTTGATGATTAAAATTATTAGATGTCACTTTCTATACTCTACTTAATGATCACTAGCACCTGCCGTAAGGGGGCATTCATTATGGCACAGGAGTGTGGCAATTTATGAATTTGTTGGAAGATCTCCCTGAAAAAGGCCCAACTGGTTTTAGAATACTCTGCTCCATAGAAAATAAGTGCTGCTGTTTTGTAAGGCTTGCAGTAGGTCTCGTAGCTCACGGATGAGCGGATATCTCCTTATCTACTCTGGCGAGATTTCTGTCATTGCTAGAAAATTGCTGAGGGATGGCATTTTATAGGCTGAGCAATGGAAAGATTTAATGCCATCTATATACTTATTTTGGAAAGGCGATTGGTAGGCTCCCACTGATAGCAAAAAAGCACTTGTAGCTAAAACCCCAACTGTGCTGTCCACTTGACATTATCAAGTAATTTTTGCTAAAAGTTTCTCTTTACATAAATTACATGACTTGTATAAATTGTTGCCCTTTATATAGCCGTATTTAAAGCTTTAAGGGGTTTAGCAACAAGTGGTTCTGAGTTCAACTCCTGCAGCGGAATACTGACACCTGTTAAATGTGATCCTTCTAAAGCCTAAGGTGGCAGCAAACCATGATTGGAGTAGGCTTTGTAAGGCTGTGCAACTGGTTGGAAAGGTGCGCCCTTCCACGTCTGTATGCGTTGTAGAGATGCAATCTCAGACCTCGCCCTTTTTCTGTGTACACGACTTTGGTGTGTACTTTGGCAGAGCTGCTGACGGAACTTTATTGACTTTTTTTTTTTTTTTTCCCCTCCTTCCAGAAACCAACCTGCGTCACACGTGCCGGCGGGTTATGGACATGGTGGCTGATGACCGCCCATGGTTCGGCATGGAACAAGAATACACTCTCCTTGGCATCAATGGACACCCATATGGTTGGCCTGAAAATGGTTTCCCAGGACCACAAGGTTAGATGTTCACCAATGGCTTTGTTAGAACTGTAAAGCAAAAATGTACTTTTTGTACCTACATTTTTAAGGCTTTTTCTCCCGTTAAACGCATTCTCTGTAGATCATAAACAACGGCACAAAGATGTGTCTGCATGCTCCAGAATCCTATCTTTTCAGGAAGCCCTTATTTCAGTTCCAAGATCTTGGTGCTGTTTTATTCCGGTTTTCCCACAATGCCATGTGCTTGGTTTCTCCAGGCAGTAAAGTGGCTTGTGCTGCAGGGGGTGTGCCAGAATGCTGGTGTGGATTTCAACTCCTTTGTAGTACAGTATAGAATTATTAGTCTTTTGGCGTTCTCTAAGAAGCCTGCACTTAAGGAACAGTCAGGCTGAGAATTGGCCTAGCTGCCATTCTATGTAGCCACAGGCTCTTCTGTACAGATCATCATGGCAGTTTTTTTTTTAAGTTGGATACAAATATAATGGAAAGCCAAAGAGGATATTTAATCTACCTGACAGACCTATCACTGGCAGTGCATGGGACTCTTCAGTGTTGCGTTAACAGAAAAGCCATCTGGCTCTTTTCTGCAGCTTATGTGACCACTTCAGGGCATTTAATCACCCTCCTGTCCTCATTAGAAGCTGATGGGGCTCTTAGCTGTGTAAACGTTGGTGTTTGTTGTGGATGTGTACACAACATAAACACGAGTCCAGGTTGTATATGTGACAGTCTGATGTTTAGGATTGTAGACAATTAAGGTTTCCATTCACCCAATTGCAATCCATGCTGATGGGTATGTTCCTTAAGTTGCCCTGAGACTAATATATGGCAGTCACTCACAACATTCTATGTCCTAGACTGGTGTATTGTCTAACACCCTTAAAATGTAAATGGGGTAGATGCCAGTTATCCCACTGTGATGTCATTTTTTTTGCAAAGAAATGCCTACTGTTTGTCTTGTGGGTTTACTCAAAGCCAAGGTGGGATTTGAAGCAAGGACCCCATTGTTGACTACTGAGCCACTGTTTTATAGACTGCCAGCTTCACAATTCTAGTCCTCGAGCACCAATGTACACAGGGTTTTATTGGAGTTCTTGAAAGAGTCACAATCTCATTCACTGCAAATGTCTTGGCCATAAAATTAATACAATTATCGAGAGCATAAAAATGAGGAATAATTTGGGTTTGAATGAGAATTGGGATAACTTGAGCTGTAGCCACATTTGCCTGACTGCAGTTGGCATGTTGATGCATAACCAAAAGCTGAACCAGCCACTGTCCCTAAGCATATAACCATTTGGGTATTTTGCCAATTGATCTGAAACTCATCTCATTAGTATGGGCTAATCGTTTTTTACTTCCGAAACTGATGGCCTTTGGTCTCTCCTCCAGGTCCCTATTACTGTGGAGTTGGTGCAGACAAAGTTTATGGACGTGATATTGTAGAGTGCCACTACAAAGCCTGCCTGTATTCCGGCATCAAGATCTGTGGCACAAACGCCGAAGTGATGCCATCACAGGTAAGAACCGTTTACCCTATGATACCAGAAGCCTAATCTGTAAAACATTTACAGAAAGCTTTGTCCTTGTAGCGCTTTGTTTCTATATATGGCAAGCTTCCTAAAATGCAACTAAACTGAGAGGGCAAATTTTTTTTTTTGGTGATCATGTTCAATGCAAAATGTTTAATTCTTTCTCATCCTTTTCTATAGTGGGAGTTTCAAGTTGGACCCTGTGAAGGAATCGATATGGGTGACCACCTTTGGATGGCACGCTTCATTCTGCACAGAGTTTGTGAAGACTTTGGTGTTGTGGCAACTCTAGACCCAAAACCCATGACTGGCAACTGGAACGGGGCTGGGTGTCACACAAACTACAGCACGGACAACATGAGAAAGGAAGGAGGACTGAAGTGAGTCTCCTGGGAATTGTGGGGCTGGTAGAATCCAGTGGGTAGTCACCTTGGTGTAAACAATAATATATATTTGGGGATTTTATGCAGCAAATTGATCTTTCCTTCCCCCTTTACTGATTTTAAAAAGAAACCTCAGAGACTTGTGGGTTGATAGTTGCTTGGCTGCCCTGTTGATACAGTTAATGGAATCGGTGATCCATAAAAAGGGGGG